GGTTGGATTTAAGCAATGTCTTTAAGGGTGAGTAGATGCTCACCTGACAGGAAGGGGGAGGAGGGTACTCCAGACCCAGGGCATAAGAGGCACAAAGGCACGGAAGGACGGAAGGGCACAGAGGAGCCAAGAGGCAGCAAGAAACTCTGTATGACACGAGGTGAAGGTTGGACAGCGTGTTAGGCAATGGGTGGAGATCAGACCAGAGAGGCAGTTTGGGGTCACACAGTCAATGACTTTATAGGATATGCTGAGGAGTCTGAACTTTACCTGAGAGGCAAGAGAGACCCAGCAAAAATTATAAAGCAAGGAGTGACAAGCCAGACATATTTATAGGGACACAATTCGTATGGCACTGGAGAGGGCATAAGGAACACCAATTAGGAGAATGTTAAAACCGTGTTGGTGGAAGGTGATAAATGAGGGTCTCAACTGAGAGTGTGTTGGTGGAACTGAAAAAGAAGAAACAATCTGAGAGATTCTGAAGAGGCAGGATGGCCAGGGCCCAGCGGCTGAACGAAGGATGGCAGCCGTGGGGAGAAGCTAAGGATAGCAGGGTTTCTAATTTGAAGAGGAGGACAAGGGGGATGCCACTAGAGAGAAGAATGGACAGCAGGTTCCACGTAAAACGGATCCTTACCAAAATGTAAGTCATATCCTGTCACACCTGTGCTCCAATCCCTCTCATGTCGCCTCATCTCCCCCAGAGTCACGGCCAGCGTTCTCACAGACAGCAAGGCCCTGTAGAGTCGGGCTACTGCTCTCTGATCTCATCTGCTTCTACTCTCCCAACTCTCTCACATCGCTCCAAATATGTTAGGCTCAAGTGCTCTTCCTCAAACATATCTTAGAGGCTCTGCTGTGCCCTATGTCCGGAACATTCTTCCATAAGTATCTACATGGCTTGCTCCTATGCCTCCATAAGGTCTTTGTTCAAATGTCACCACAAGAAGGCCTTCTGTAACCACCCTATTTGCAAGCCCCCACTTAGCGTGGTATTTCCCATCCCCTGTACCTGCTTTGTTTATCTCCACACCAGTTTTCCCTTGTGATGTTTATTTTTCAGTTATTTTTTTTTAATTTCTACTCCTTTCTCCTCCACCCACCTCACAAGAAATAAGCTCAAAGAAGGCAGGAATCAGTTGTCCATTTCACAACTCCATCTCTAATGCCAAAAACATTACCTGGCACAGAGTGGGTGAGCCAAATGCATTTGTTTCATTAAGTGAGTAATAAATTCACATGGATCCTGTTGAGTTAGATGTGCCCGCAAGACGCCCAGGTGGGGCCGCCCAGTGGGCAGTTGGAACTGGAGCACTGGAGGGCACAAGAGAGAGCAGCGATCGAGACACGAGGTTTGGGATCAGCGGGACAGAAGCACTGGAGTCCCAGAAGCACCAAGAAATACAGTGGGACGGTATTTCACAGTCAGACCCAGGAGCCAGACAGCCTTGGCTCAAACCTTGATCTTGACACTTCTTGCTTATAAATCTTGAACAAAGTTTTAAACCTCTCTGTGCCTCAGTTTCCTCCTCTCTAAAACGGAATTTTAAAAAAACATGCCCCAGAGGGTTGTGGTAAGATTTAATTGAGCAAATATGTGTGAGGCACTGAGAATGTGCCAGAACAACCTGGCACATGGAAAGCACACAAGAATTGAAAGCAGTGGGGAATACCGAGGAGAGCAGCATTTTCTCTAGGTAAGAGGGGTGGCATTTGTGGATCTGGAGGCCAGAGTTGTTTTCTGTGTAATCCTCATTCCCTTGTGCTCTGTGGTGAACCAACAGAGGTTCTCTCGGCTTTTCTGCTTTGAGTTTGTTGTTGTGTTTGTTTCCTCTATGGTCTTATCAGAAACCAAGAAACCTGTCTGCAGGTGTTTTGAATGTGAGCCTGCATACTGGCAGGCGTACAGTACAGCGGAAAGAGCATGGCTCTGCAGTCAGATAAATACGGGCCTGAACTCCAGCTCTGCCACTCAGAAACGTGACCACCTTAGTCTCCCGATTTCTAAAAGAGGAATGATAAAGCCTGCCTCAAGCACCTCAAGGCTGAAGAAGAGCAGTTGCGGAACATCTACCTGTGGAATGAATGAATGAGGCTGCCGTGAGGATTAAATGTGAGGGTGCTCATAAAACACGGAGCACGGTGGGGGCAGGCCCGGTGGTGTAGCGGTTAAGTTCGCACGTTCCACTTCAGCGGCCCAGGGTTCGCCGGTTTGGATCCCAGGTGTGACCTACGTACTGCTTGTCAAGCCACGCTGTGGCAGGCATCCCATACGTAAAATAGAGGAAGATGGGCACGGCTGTTAGCTCAGGGCCAGTCTTCCTCAGCAAAAAGAGGAGGACTGGCAGAAGATGTTAGCTCAGGGCTAATCTTCCTCAAAAAAAAACCCCAAAAAAACATGGTGCATGGGCCCTGGCAAACGGGCAGTCCCTGGCAAAAGGTCAACAAACAGATCCAATGTGGAAGCTACAAAAAAGTCTTGTTTTTATGACTGGCAGCTGGATTGGCATTCCTGTGGCTAGGGCCTATTTAAGGGACCCAATGTCAGGGCTGAACTTTCTATTTATTCATGTCATTAAAAAGCATTTTCACTTCATCTTTAAAGAGCAGAGATTGACTTTACTAAGGTTTTGTTGAAGCACTCAGCCTTATTATAAGGTGCACTTAAAGTGATTAGATATTGGTATCGGGTTTGCTGTGCGTCTTGGAAGATAAAAGAGAACCTTGATAGTCGTTCTGTTTGCCCTTGAGTTTCCTTTTATCCCCAGTGTGCGGCTGCTCGGAGCGCAGTGGCTGATAACCTCTGTGTTTAATTCTTCATGTACTACTCTCACCACACAAAAGCTCAAACAGCTTGGCAGCTGCTTTACACAATGTGTGTAATCATGTACCAGAAGGCTTCTATCTACGAAAATATTAGTAAGGATTTAAGAACTGATTGCACTTTGTGGGTTTACCCGTTTTAAGGGTACTTTTTAAAATTATTGTTTTCCTGATTACAAAAGAAAACATGTTCATTTAAGATAATTTGGAAAACTAGAAAGCTCAAAGGAGAGAAAACCCTACCACCTCTGGCATATAACAGTTCTATATACTTCCTGCGAATCTTTCCAGATGCCCTGGGGAGGAGTGCATGTACGTAAAAGCAAAATGCAAATCATATTAATCATTATTTTATTACTTGCTTTTTAAACTAGCTAATTTACACATTAATTCATTCGTCCATTCAAGGAAATTACTTACACACCTACTAGGTGCCAGGCACTGTAAAAAGGACAGAGGGTAAGGGAGAAAAGCGTATAAAAAATCATTACAATAAACTAAGATAATAAAGGTACACATAAAGTACTACAGGTGCACACAAGAGGGAGCAGAGGTGTCAGGGAAGCGGCCTACAGGAGACGGCACACGAGCTGTTCCTAACAGGTCAGGTAACAGAGGAGTTCACCAAGGAAGGGAGGCGGCACATGAGCAGAGGATGTAGCAAGAAGGCCCCAAACATGAAACCACATAGCTGGTATGAGGTCCTGCAAAAGTCCAGTCCGGGAAAAAGGTGAAAGAGTGAGGGAGGTGAGGATGGAAATGCAGGAGCCAGGCAATGAACAACCGCTGCGGGATTTGAAGAAGGGGGTTGACATGCTCAGATGTATGTGTTGGTTAGAAAACATACCGCAGCTTTGAGGATTAAGAATGAGAGGCAAAGAGGAAACTAGAACGACCCATAAAAGGGCTGATGATGTGAAAGATAGTGAAGATCTAATGAGAATGGAGATGACAGACAATGTCCTGGAACTGACAGTGAACTGGAAGTCAGAGACCTGGATTCTAGATGGGTAGTCTAGAATCTTCTTTCCTCTCTTCCTCCCATGATTACTGAGAATCAGCTATATACAACCACATGTTAGATGCAGGAGAAACAAAGATGACATGGCCCAATTCTCATACCCCAAGGGCTTACATTCTAGTAGGAAAGGATAGGTCAAAGTGTACTATTGTTGCTTGCCTTGCATGCCTTCCACTCCTTTGGGAAAAGGACTCTAATTCTCCTTTGGGAAAACCATCCGTCTCTGACTCACAGTCCATGCAGTGGGAGTGGTCATATTCCCACTCTGCTAGGTTCATGAACCAGGCCAGGCAAACAGAAGCATCTCATGCCCTGGAGCACAATGACTGGTTCAGGGACAGGCACAGGACTCTAACCAGGTCAACAAGATCACGCCTGGAGGAATCAGATAGAACCAGGGAAAGAGAAATCATCACCTTCTTCTAAGAGCCCACGTGCCTAAGACCACATACTCCTCAGGCTGTCAGTCCTCCTGTGCTAGCAGGTGAGAGCGTATCCAGCACAAAGTCACACAGAGGAAAGCCAAGCCAAGAAAGAGAAAAACAGTGGTCAGATGACATCTTTTGTGAAGCTGGTTCAGCTATGTACTCCTAGACATTTAAGTAAGTTAATATATTCCCTTTTTTGCCACAATGAGTTTGTTGGGGTTTTGTCACTTGTAATTTGAAAGAGGGCTGAAGGATTCAGGCAGAGAGACACAGAATCCCCTAAATGCAATATAATGTGATAGGTACAAGAGAGCGATTTATAAGGTACAAGCAGCACAGAGCAGAGTGCACTCAAGCCTACCTATAGATAAGTTGAGGAAACTCTCACAAGGACGTCTTGAGGAAGTAGCCATCTGGCAACAAGATAAGGAGCAGAAGGCTATTCTATGCAGAATAAACAGAATGAGCAGAAGCAAGGAAGAAGGGAAGAGCATGGAATGTCTGGGGAAGAAGACTCAGCACACTTTGCTAAAGCACTAAGTCCACAGCAGAAAGCAGGTTGTGAGGAATTTATCCCTTCTCCGGGTAATGAGGACCCACTGGAGGACCAAATCAGACCATTTCACCTCCCATGTACCCTCTCCAGACCACAGTGGCTTCATAGGTAAAATCAGGTAGATCAGAACAAATCACCACAAATTCATGAAAACATTAAGAGGCCTTACCTGCTGATCGAATTCGTCATCTTTGGGGGTCAGATAGGGGAGCCAAGTGTCTTCAAGCTCTTCAAGGAGCCTCAGTTTCTGTTTAAAAATAATAATTATTATAGGTGACTGAATATAAAGTGACCCAAAATATAAGAGAATCCCTTATTTTTCCAATAGAGACTACCCAAAAAAATTTAGCCAACTTCAATGTATAAACTTTTAGAGATAGAAATTAGTCAAATGCAAATTATAAAAAGTATTAATTTAATTACACACATTTAAGTTACACATTGTATAAGGCACTAATTTAGAAATAATGATTTTATTCACTGTCACATCTCATGGAACAATTTGATTCACTCTTGACATGCGTCTTTAAATCAGGGCCTTTTTCATCACTAGAGTCGCCTTTTGAGTCATCCGATTCGGCTTGCGAGCCAATCTTCCCATCTGTATATCTGCTTGAGACACAGCAGTTTCTGACTCCTCCTATGATACGATCACTGGAAATACCAAACCAAGCCAAAGTATCCCTTAGCATAATGTCAGGAGATTTGGAATATTTATTCATCCTGTAAACATTTATTTGAGATCATATCCACCTACATATTACTTTTTTAAAGTGATCTTTCATCTCTAGAATAATTACTAAATCTGTGTTGAGCATCTTTGCTTCTTTTCAAATTTTAAGAAGGAGGTTTTTTAAGCATCCACAGCTAGCAGTGTCTGAGACCATTTCAGGATACTAGTCTCGCCAAGTAGTACCTTGCTCTTCAAATAAAGTAACTAAGAGAGGACCCCAAATTATAAAGTACTTTATAAGGAATCAAATACATACACAGTGACACCCTCCCCTTCTGAGGGATTTTTCCCAAAGAATATCTGACCTTACATTCAAGCATACATGGGGTGTTGGGGGAGGGGTGTGTGTGTGTGTGTGAGTGTGTGTGTGTCCATGACATCTAAATGCCATATATGTGTGTATGCAAATTATTTATATACGATAGAAATTTTCTGTATAGTATACATTTATATACTATAGAAATTTTCTGAAAGAAAAAAAAGAGGAAAGGCAGAAACATCTTATTTTCAAATAAAAATGGATCATCAGGCTGTTGTCAGCCACTAAGGGACCTTTCTAAGAATTAGAAAATGGTGTGCCTTGCTCTGAGTCGATGCAGCCCCATTCCATAGGACATGGCTGGGTGATCATAACTGGATTTGAGCCCCAACGTGCTCCAATGGGTACTGTTTCTGTGCAGTGAACAACCTGCTCAATCAGACACGGTGGCCCTGAGTAGCATCCTCCCCCACCCCAGGAAAGCAGCCTTCTCTCACAAACCCATCACAGAGCAGGCCAGAGCAAACACCCTTTTGAGCAGAACTCAAATCCTTTCTGTATCTTCTGTATAATTTTCCAAAGTGAAGAAAGGAAAAAGGGAATAGAAATTTAGCAACCAGTTGACCTAAGGAAGGAAAAAATTAAACTTTACTCTTATGCAAAATTCTAATGTCTTCATTTAATTAAAGTTTTCTGCTTTGACTATAGGTATTTTCTCATTTGTAATGATAGGACTGGTTTACCGATTAAACTATGAACAGTTTTCCCTTACACAGGACCTATAATACCAAAACAAGCCATTCATTTAGATAAATCACTGGTTAAACGGTTTATCTGTTTTCATCATTAGGACATAGAAAGAACTAAGGATATTTCCAAGAACATACTTGCATATTTATGCACTCCATCACAAATTTAATCAAAATCTATACCTCAATTTCCACTTCAAGCTCAGGAAAGCCTGCATTTTCCTATGAATCTTTTACCAGTCCTTTTTATAGACAGATATTTAAATACCCAAAATATTAACCCATCTTTAAAAGCCTTGAATAATTCAAATGCACACGATACTTCAAATCTTGAAATGGCTCCACCTTAAGATCTCTTTGGGAGAATCTATAAAGCTAATCTGTGTATAAGGAGCTTATTACCTTAAAAAAACTTTTGGTCTTATTTATCTTGGTGAAATCAATCAGGAATCAATGTTAGATTAAATTGGTAGTTCATGAACATGACACATTCTTAAAATTAAAATTGCTTTAAAAACGGCAGAGTCACTCTGGGGGTGACTATGGAGAAAAAAGTCCTCTCGTGCTCAGGAGTACAAAACAATACAATACAGATGGCGGACAACTGACAATTCCCATCAAGATGCAAATGCATGTCCCGTTTGACCCAGAAGTCCTACTTCTAAGGATTTTTTCTATGGATATATTTATACCCTGTTCAGAAGAATGTATGCAAAGGTTTACTCACTGGATCACTATCTGTAGAACAAAAGCTTGGAAACATACTAAAAACTACTTAATTGTACACTTTAAAAGGGCAAATTTTATGGTATGTGAATTACATCTCAACCAAACAAAAAGATTAGAAACAATCCCCAGTGTCCATCCACAGAGGGCGGTTACACAAACTAGGGTCCATCCACTCAATGAAACACAGTGCCACACGGAAGAAAACAGGCAAGCTCCCTGTTAGCAAAATAAAAAGCTCTCCAGGAAGTAAAAGGCAAGGGACAGAACATTTGCTCGTATTTGCGTACAGAAACATAGAGGATATGTGACAAACTCTCAAAGGGGTTATGTCAGGGGCAGAGGCAGGAAATGATTAGAAGGGCACTGGGGGTGGGGCTAGTCAAAAATAGTCCATTTATTTGTTTTGCTTTTTGAACTATGTAAACACACTGCCTATTCAACTACTACCTATTATCAACTCAAACATATTATCTATCAATTCTTAACACAGAATTCAGTATAAATATGAAGATGACATGACTTTTGGCTTTGTTTTAAAAAGTGCATACTTTTGAGATGTACAGTCAAGTACTTATTTGGGAAACTATCACAGACTAGCACACGAAAGAGTGAAGAGGGAAAAAAAAAAACAGGTCTGACAATTTCTTTGTGTCAAATGCCAACCAGTCGGTAAACACATCCAACATTAAAATGCACTATGGAGCAAGGCAGACTCATTCCTGTTTGACTGTCAGATCCGGCTAACTGCTGCTCCGTGGCCTGACGTACAGATAAACCTTCACGGCCGGGCCCTACAGCACCCTGCTCTGCTCACGCGCTTCTTTGCTGTCACACTGGTGTCAGATACATCGAGCTGCTCACAAATGCCACACAGAAAGCTAGAAAGAGTGCACAGCCTTGGCTCTCCCAGCGGGCGGGAGGAGCAGATGAAGGCCCCTCCGTGAGGGCTCCTCCCATTTCCAGAGCTCAAGAGAGTAAAAGAAACGGACACAAGACCTTAAGGAAAACACAGTACAACTCAAAACTATAAAGGTTTTAAGAAGTTTTTAAGAAGGTGGACTTCAGAAACTTGAACCCAAAGCCTCGGACTCGATGTGAAAAGTTAAGCTGTATCTGAGCTTGCAGATCTTGTCAAGGAGAGATGGTTTGAGAATCTTACAGTGATTACATAAAAAGATTAACTGGATTATGAGTCTTAATGTGACCTTGTATCTCACCTACAAATGAAGTCTATTTTCGGTCCCATAGCTTTGTCAGATTGTGCTGCTAACAACTCTTATGCTTTATGCTTTATGTTTTTCATTTTCCACATAATACTTTTTAAACTATGCATCATATTTTGTCAGATTCAATAAAAATTTAATTTTGTTGTCAAAGTCTTTTAAAAATGCAATCACAAATAAAGGCTTATGACTGTTGTAAAAATAATCCCCCGATCTTCTGAGGATTTCAAATACTAACTAAGAAAATTGACCTAGTCCTTAAGCGGGGCATGAGTGAGGGAGACAATAAAATTAACACCAGAAAGATGAGCGAGAAGCAGCTAGGCCAAAAGAAGTATAAATAAATACTTCATATGTACATATGACATAATTGTTCTAAATGAAAAGAAAAAGTATTTTAACAAACTCAGCATTTGCTTTCCTACACTCACTAAAAACACGGCATGGTAAAAATAAACAGAATTTGGAGGCAAGAGCAGAATTTGAGTCCAGACTCTTATCACTTCCTAGATTTGGTACCACACCTCAATCAACCTCTCCAAACCTCAGTTTACTCATCTGTAAAACAGTGTTTCACAGGGTGTTGTCAAGAAGAAATGAAATTAATCATATATATTATGGCATTTCACAAACTCTACACTATACAGATATTAGGGAAACAGTATTCAAATAGAGGGAGGGGTCTGTATAACAAAGCACATGCTAAAAAAGGGATGCTGTTAGTTCTAAGGCCAGTCCTACCAGTCTAGATACGTGATTTGGGACTAGTTTCTTATCCCCCGTGAGGTGTAAATGAAGTAACACATATAGAAATCTAAGAACAGTGGCGAGCACATAAAAAAACCTTCAAGACACTTTGGCAACCATTTGTTGTTATTGTTGCCTACTCATTTCTGGAAAAGCACGCTTTTATTTACTGGTTATGAATGATCTATGAAAGAACCTATGTGTAACCCATCAAATTACGCTTTATGCCATAGAGTAATGCTAAAAGAAGTATAAATACTTCTTTTATAAATAAATAAATATATAAATATAAATAAATAAATAAATACATGAGAAATTCAGATATTAATTTGCCCAGGTGAACTACAACAGAAACATAAAAACTCTCCACAAAAGTTTATATATATATATATATATGTATATAAAATGCATCAATTGACTATACTGGTGATAAAAGTAAAAATTATTGTAAAATTTTAGAACAGATAAAGAAACTAAGGCCTATCCAGAGATATAAAGTGACTGGCAAGAGATTACACTACTGGTCATGAGAGCATCACAATTCGTCTTCTCATTTCCCAAGTACAAGGACATTTCCACTACATTCCACCATGGCAACTTTGAGGCAAGAGAACTTTTATCTTTCAAGAATTGCTCAATTTTTAACTTAAAAAGAATATACAAACACAAAAGTTTTAAGTAATTTTAATTAAAATCAACCCTATTTTTAAAATTTAAAACCAAAGCTCATAATCACTGTTTTGGACCCTCAAGGCCTGGCTGCTTTGGGAGATCTACAGTGCTTTCAAGATTTTTCTTGTAAATCTA